CACCTCGAATAGCACTGATCTCACCTGACTTTAGATGGTTGCCTATGAAACAGCCATTCAGGCTGCCTTCCCATCAGCAGAGAGAAAGAGCACAATCAGCATACAACTCTTTTCCCTCTAAAGGAGACAAAGCTGACATAAATCATGACACTAAAGTGCCTTTCTCTTCACAGCCAATAAAGGAAGCCCAGGGGGAGGCAGATGTTTAAGCCTACATCACAGATATCTCAGACTAAATAGGATGAACCTCACCCTTTGCTTCTGCCCCTGCATCTTCTCATCTCAAGGGTCTCATTAATACATCATAGTAAATAATATGTACATTGATTATAAATACGCTAATAAAAACAAAGGACTTTGGCCTAAAGGGTGTGTGAAGAAGAGGAGGAATAAGCACAGGGTAGCTGCACATCCGATCAATACCAACCCACAGGGAACAGTCATTGCTCTTTGCCACCATTTTAACTGTAATATATTGTACCCTCTAGGTAAACACGTGGACATTTACAAGTGGGAATCAATAGAAAAAGAGATCTTCCCACCCCGTCACCCAGAGAGACCATTCTTCTTCCATTGGAGCAGACAACAGCAAGAGGCCATAGATTAATGTCTCTGCTACTATGGGCTATCTGCCATATCCATGGCTTTCTTCTGGACCTCTCTGACCACGTTTTAAGTGCGGATGGCTTTTAATCCTTAAAAAACACACCAACAAACAACCCCACAACAAAAAATAAAAGAACTGTTCACATTGATAAAGAAATGCGTTAACATGTTACCCAATTGGAATAAAGCAAATGCCACTTTGGGAACCCAGAGCAAAGAGCTTCACTGGGAAGAAGTTCTAACAACATTCAGTTGGTGTGTGTGTGGAGAAATAAAAGCCTGAAAGCTTTGCCTGCACACACAGGATTTTGTCCCAGGCACTTCACCAGCTAGTGAGTCTGTATGCCTCCAGGCTTGCAGATGGATAAACAGTTGTTCCAGTCAGATCTAGATAAGCCTAAAACCAGTGGAAGCCCTTGCCCTGGCCTCAGGGAACTTAAGAGTCACTCCTCCCAATGTTCCCACATACCTCAAAGTCCAGGGACATATTCTATCACACCTGAAGGTTTTTACCTTCCCCCAAGTCATGTTAATATCACCCACTGTGGCTGTCTTTTTTTTTTTAATTTGTTTTTTTTTTCAGAAACTTTATTCTGTCAGGAACCAGACAGTAGTATCACTCCAAGAGAGCTGCCTAAAGATGGACAGGCAGAAGGACTATGTATGCACACAGAGGCTCCTGCCGCGCGTACAAAGGAAAGTCAAAGCACTCACAAGCATAACACAGTGACTGTGTCCCGATTTCTGTGAAAATCCGCTTTTGTGGGCAGATTTACAGGAACTGTGGCATATCACTCAGCACAGACGCAATCGACTAGTACCCATCATGTAGTTTGGAGAAGCTCCTGTCCCACAGACCCGGTCCCAGCTCACACATGGAGAATGAAAACATCATTTACTTTCAAACCAAACAGATTCCCTTTTGGCTCTCAGCAAAATATCCAGAGCTGCATAAGATTACATGTGTGATCTCATAGTCGCTTTTTCCACACTATCAGTTATACTTAGCACCTTATCTTCCATGAGTAGATAATTAATCATCAGGTTCCAGGTATCAGCTTCCAAAAAGCCAGTTTATAAACAGACTTCAGAAAAGTGAAGGGAAGGTGGATTGCAGGTTGGTTTTTTTTTTTAAACTCATACCATTTATAGAGAATTCAAGTTACAACACAAAAGTTCATCAACTCACATTGAGGTGGGTCACTGGGGCCAATAAATCAAGCCCTGGTTTACCAACTCACTTCCAAGGAATTGCTGAAGAGAAAATGAGAAATACCTATTCTACTTTTGCTTGCTAGCATTTCATTAAAAAGTTACCTTCCTAGGAGGGTTTAACAGCTGCCATACTCGACCCCTTTAGAAAAGCATTAAACAAGAGAAGCGGTCCTGCTAAACATCTTGAAAAGCAGAGCACAACACAAAGCCCCACTGATGCCACTAGCAAGAATAGCACGTCGAGACTTTCTAGCTTTTCCATAAACAAAAGTGCTCCAGCAAACATCTCACCATGCCTTGCCCTCACCAGCTGTCCAAGGCTTCTGCTGTGTTCTTACTATTGATGCTGAAGTCTGCCCTGCATCCATTTGAGATTCCCCTCCACCTTCCGTAAGAAAGTATACGAGGGCTGTTTACTGCTGCACTGGTTGAGCTGGCCAGGCAGATTTTTCTTTATCCACTGGCTAGTTATCCAGAGTTTCAAAGATATAAGACAACAGCAAACCAGGCTGAAGTTTGCAACCTAAAAATGAAAGGCCCCACTTTCTCCTCCTCCTCCCTTCTGTTCTATTCCAGGAGGAAAAAAAAAATATAATAAAACCCCCATGAAAAAAAACAAAACCATAAAACATCAAGAAAAGAGCATTAAAAGGCTGAGATCTCAGCTGCGTGCACGGAAGGCAGAAAGGCAGAGACGGCACCGGGAAGGATGCTCCCTGTCACGGCTGCTCTGTGACAGCTCCATTCCCCCCTGACTCCTGGGTTTGTTTTTCATGTTCACCTGCCCTGCTCCTCGACATTGTCACAGGCTTAACAGAATTGCCACTTGGTCCCAGGCAAGACCTCTCCCAGACTTTTTGCTGTCAGTCAAAAAAAGGGGCCTGATAAGCTTTGCATTTGCATGGGTATTGAGAGGCATTTCCAAAGCAGGGAAATGGCCTTGCCGAATACCGATGCTATCTGAGAATGACAACTATTCAAGTCATTTTACAGTTTCACTAAGTGGAGAGATCAGGTTTGTTTGCACCTTTATAAGGATTATTAGCTTTCAAAGTGCTGATCATATCTGTCTCACCCTCAGAGATGAAGCCTTGCTACATTCGAAGCAGAGTTGGCTTAAGCGCTTCCTACAAAGACAACCTCCCACAGGCACCCCAGAACCAGAAGTCACTAAAACCTAAGGTCACATCTGAAATCCTTGAGCCCATACTCCTCCTTTCTATACATACAGGAGCATGCGAGAGGCACGAATGTGGAGATGCTCTATCACCCCTCCCTACGCAGGGTAGGACACGAGAGCAATCAGTCCCCTCTGCATGATGCTGCTGGGCACCATCCCATACAGAGCATTTGAAGATGGCAATGAGGACTGAGCTCTGCAAGCAGAGATTTTTCCTCTTCATGCAGACAAGGATGACTTGAATTTCACACAAAGAATCCCACGGTGCCTCACGCTAGGTTAAAGGGACAGCTCTGAGGTCATGGTAGTATCCCATATGCACAAGACCCCTGGGTTAACAGGAATTAATTCAACTACCTTTTGTCCTAGTCAGCTGTCAATACCTAAAAGGGACATGGTCTAAGGTTCACAAAGCAGAACTGCAAAGCCCTTCTGTCCCAAAACAGTATTGGCACATTCAGCATCTGGCCTCTGTGCAGAGCAATCCACGCTTTACAAAAACAAAGTCAAGTCACACCAGGAGCAGAAGCTATCTGCAGATCTACAAACCAGATACTTCTGATTTACACAGCACTAGAGGGGAGGGGGAGAGAGAGAGAGAGAGAGAGAGAGAAAGAGAAAACAATACACATTTAAAAATGCTTGCTGTATCCTGCAACATCTGGTGATTGGATCACCCTCGAAAACAGGAATCCCTGCATACTGGGCGAGGTGGCTGGAACATCTCCAGCTGTGAGTGGACACATAGGACCGCACACGGCAAATTCATGAATTTGAGAACTGAGCTGATGGGCACTGTGTGCTCTCAGATCTCTTGGTGTGTGAGGATCTGCCATAAATCATCAAAAAGGGATCCTGGTCCCACCAGCACCACCAAAAGCCCTAGCAGCTGAGGGCACAGTGATCTGGTAAACACACCCACTGCTGACACCAGGCGGAACCAACCCCTGGGGCTCCAGTAGCATTTCTGTTCTTGCAT